ATCGCAAACGAGAAGAAGATCGCAGACGAGGTGAGACTGCAAAGCGATTATGAAGCTGAAGTGAAAATTTATCGAGCTTTGGAGAAACTTGACGAGGAGATAATTGTGTTGCACGGATTGAAGTATAGCCACTATCAGTTCCGAATTTGGGATCAAAATCATAATCCGAAAGATTGCTCCAAAAAAACCCAGAACCCAAACTGCGACAAAAAAAATTTACACGCAGATGAAGCAGAGCACGATTTTATTGTGATTGGCTCAAACTACATTGTAATTATTGAGGTCAAAAATCCATCAACCGCCGATGATTGCCCGATAAAAGTTTCATCTCAAACTAATACTGATCCAATACAGTCGGCAATTCGAACCGCAGAGAAACAATTTAATAAAGGGTTGCAGATCATTGAAGGCATTGCACGCGAATCTAATATCGCAACAGGCAACGCATCAGACTTCAAGGTTTTTCAAGTAGTTGCTCTCCCAAACTTAGATTGTTGCTCAAAACTAAACAGCCTAGACAAATCGCGATTCAATTTTGTCAGTTCAAAAGATCTGGATAGTTTTCCATTTTTTTGGGACAGTTTGCTTCTTGCTACGTCACCCATTAAAGTTTTTTCGAGAAACTTTGATGACGTAAAAAGTGCATTAGTTACACTTTGGGCTACTGGAAAAAATCAAAAAATTGATCATAAAAAGTTCAGTTTGACTCACTGTATTGAAAACATAAACAAACAACTTGAACACGGGGAGATCACATTTGCCACTGAAAAAAGACTCCCGAACCCAAATGTCTTTAAAACATGTGACCTTGATTCCGCTTGGATAAACGGAAAAAATATTTTCAAAGATTTCCTTCAGATAGACTACCTTACAGAAGAACAGAAAAATGCATACGAAGATGAGTCCAAAAATTTAATCATTAACGGATGTGCTGGTTCTGGAAAGACAATCATTATGCTAGCTAGATTAATTTGGCTTCTACTTACAGAAAAATCAACTAAAGTTGTTTTGATAGTACACAATGAAGTGAAACTGGCACGCTACTCGAAGATTTTTGAACGCGCTGGGATCGATTCGAGAGAAGGAGATCTAAATATTGAGAACCATAGAACCACTTTTAATGGGAGATACGTGGATCTCAGGCAGGAACTGGCTTCTTGTTCAGTACTCGTAGTCCATCTTGTTTCCGCAAGACGTTCATTTTTAGAAGGTATAGAAGATGATTTCGATATTAGTCTAGTGAACATTAATGCGACATTTCAGCAAAGCGTATTCAGTGGTAATTATGGTTATACTTTCGATAAAAACAACCCTCAGTCAAGTAATAACAGAACCGATGACAAAGTTGCGAAAAGTCTGCAAAGCAGTACAGGTGATAGTTTTGATAAACTTGTCGATAAAACCAACACTCTTTCATCTCTCAACAGAACCGAAGTTGCGACAAATGTGCAGAGCGGATCAGGTGATAGTTCTCGTGCCAATTTCGATAAAAGCAACACTCTTTCAAGTCTTAGCAGAACCGAAGTTGCGACAAATGTGCAGAGCGGATCAGGTGATAGTTCTCGTGCCAATTTCGATAAAAGCAACACTCTTTCAAGTCTTAGCAGAACCGAAGTTGCGACAAATGTGCAGAGCGGATCAGGTGATAGTTCTCGTGCCAATTTCGATAAAAGCAACACTCTTTCAAGTCTTAGCAGAACCGAAGTTGCGACAAATGTGCAGAGCGGATCAGGTGATAGTTCTCGTGCCAATTTCGATAAAAGCAACACTCTTTCAAGTCTTAGCAGAACCGAAGTTGCGACAAATGTGCAGAGCGGATCAGGTGATAGTTCTCGTGCCAATTTCGATAAAAGCAACACTCTTTCAAGTCTTAGCAGAACCGAAGTTGCGACAAATGTGCAGAGCGGATCAGGTGATAGTTCTCGTGCCAATTTCGATAAAAGCAACACTCTTTCAAGTCTTAGCAGAACCGAAGTTGCGACAAATGTGCAGAGCGGATCAGGTGATAGTTCTCGTGCCAATTTCGATAAAAGCAACACTCTTTCAAGTCTTAGCAGAACCGAAGTTGCGACAAATGTGCAGAGCGGATCAGGTGATAGTTCTCGTGCCAATTTCGATAAAAGCAACACTCTTTCAAGTCTTAGCAGAACCGAAGTTGCGACAAATGTGCAGAGCGGATCAGGTGATAGTTCTCGTGCCAATTTCGATAAAAGCAACACTCTTTCAAGTCTTAGCAGAACCGAAGTTGCGACAAATGTGCAGAGCGGATCAGGTGATAGTTCTCGTGCCAATTTCGATAAAAGCAACACTCTTTCAAGTCTTAGCAGAACCGAAGTTGCGACAAATGTGCAGAGCGGATCAGGTGATAGTTCTCGTGCCAATTTCGATAAAAGTAACACTCTTTCAAGTCTTAGCAGAACCGAAGTTGCGACAAATGTGCAGAGCGGATCAGGTGATAGTTCTCGTGCCAATTTCGATAAAAGCAACACTCTTTCAAGTCTTAGCAGAACCGAAGTTGCGACAAATGTGCAGAGCGGATCAGGTGATAGTTCTCGTGCCAATTTCGATAAAAGCAACACTCTTTCAAGTCTTAGCAGAACCGAAGTTGCGACAAATGTGCAGAGCGGATCAGGTGATAGTTCTCGTGCCAATTTCGATAAAAGCAACACTCTTTCAAGTCTTAGCAGAACCGAAGTTGCGACAAATGTGCAGAGCGGATCAGGTGATAGTTCTCGTGCCAATTTCGATAAAAGCAACACTCTTTCAAGTCTTAGCAGAACCGAAGTTGCGACAAATGCGCAGAGTGGATCAGGTGATAGTTCTCGTGGCAAATTTAAGCTACCCAAACAATTCAAGCTGCCAAAACTTCCCTGGCTACTACGCAAGCTTTTCATAGCACGAAAGGTAAGAAACAAATCTGCAATCGAAAAGTCGAATGTTCGATGCCCACCATGATCCGTGCTCGTTGCTTTAGAGTGAGGCCAGGGGTGGATCTAGAATTTTCTCGAGGGGGGGGGGATTTTAAAAACATTTTCAAAAATTTTAACGACTCCAACACCCCCCCTTCCTCAAATCCGCTACTGGGTGAGCCAACATTAGGCAGTCAAAAAATGATCAAAAAAACGCATGTAGCCGTTCTGTAGCCGTTCTTAATATACAAAGTCTTTCTCCGTAGACAATATAACATTTCGTATTTTGCTCCTTTCCCTCGTGGAAAAAAAGTCTCAACCTTGGAAAATATCCCAAAAAAAAAACACATTTTAAATCAAAATTCTAAAATACACTGTTTTTCATAAAAATTTTTAATGCTCTTACTGAAGACGCTTACTGTCAGCAAAAAGAAACAGACTAGATTTGAAAGAAGTAAAAAGTCATTGGAGCTGTGAAAGCAGTAAACTCTTTTAGTTATCTGAAACTTGGCTACCATTTAAATAATCCAGGCTGTTACGCTTAAAAGTACAACCTGGGAGGCGTGAGATAGCAATTTTCCTGTTTGAACAAATTATAGGAATGAAAACAATTTATGAGCTGTTTTTATTTTTCTCATTGGTCTTTTGCTATTAAAGATCATCTTTGTAACTACCAAAGAAGTTTTTGACTTTAATTGTTGTTTGCAAATTTTCCGAAAAGTTAATGTGATTTGAAATTGTACCTCCGAAAAAAAATACCCAGTAGTTGCTAGCCTTTGATATCTTTTTGTTTACGCAAGGCCATCAGGACTTCGGTTTAAGCCTAATCCGTGTTTAGGATAAACGACGTTACCTAAACTCTGAGGTTGATCAAGAACGCTCACTGGATTTGGAGGATATGGTAATGATGGGTTAAAAACTTTTCCTATTAAAGATCATCTTTGTAACTACCAAAGAAGTTTTTTTTATATGTTGTTTGCAAATTTCCGAAGAGTTAATGTGCCTTGAAATTGTACCTCCGAAAAAAAAGACCCAGTAGTTGCTAGCCTTTTATATCTTTTTATTCACGCAAAACCATCGGGACTTCGTTTAAGCCTAATCCGTGTTTAGGATAAACGGCGTTACCTAAAATCTGAGGTTGATCAAGAACGCTTACTGGATTTGGAGGATACGGTAATGATGGGTTAAAAACTTTTCCTATTAAAGATCATCTATGTAACTACCAAAGAAGTTTTTTTTATATGTTAATTGCAAATTTTCCGAAGAGTAATGTGCCTTGAAATTGTACCCTCCGAAAAAAAAGACCCAGTAGTTGCTAGCCTTTTTTATCTTTTTATCACGCAAAACCATCGGGACTTCGGTTTAAGCCTAATCCGTGTTTAGGATAAACGACGTTACCTAAAATCTGAGGTTGATCAAGAACGCTCACTGGATTTGGAGGATACGGTAATGATGGGTTAAAAACTATTCCTGTTAAAGATCATCTAGTAACTACCAAAGAAGTTTTTTTTATATGTTGTTTGCAAATTTTCCGAAGAGTTAATGTGCCTTGAATTGTACCTCCGAAAAAAAAATACCCAGTAGTTGCTAGCCTTTGATATCTTTTGTTTACGCAAAACCATCGGGACTTCGGTTTAAGCCTAATCCGTGTTTAGGATAAGCGACGTTACCTAAAATCTGGGTTGATCAAGAACGCTCACTGGATTTCAAGAATACGGTAATGATGGGTTAAAACTTTTCCTTTAAAGATCATCTATGTAACATACCAAGAAGTTTATGATTTTAATTGTTGTTTGCAATTTTTCCGAAGAGTTAATGTGCCTTGAAATTGTACCTCCGAAAAAAAGACCCAGTAGTTGCTAGCTTTTGATATCTTGATATTTATCAATGTTTAGGATAAACTACGTACCCGAAAGAGTGGACAAATCGCAACATGACCTCTCACTGGATTCGGATATCGATGAGGTATATAAACCTAACGTTGAGGCGGGGTAGTGAAGAACGAGGGGGGATAATCCGGCAATTGCAAATTGGGTCAGCTTCGAATTAAGAGTAAACTTTTTGGTAGGTCTGAAATAGTTCGAATTTTTTTAAGATTTTGAGAACCGGAAATTTAAATACCATTCAAATCAGTGGGGCTGTTATAAGTATATAGTCTGCCTGGTAGCGCCAGACAGCTTTTTTAATTTGAACTCACAATAGAAGTGAAAAAGCACACATTTCGCGTCTCATAAACTACGATTATTTTAACTACGACATAAACTAGAACAATTGTTGAACCAAATAAAGTATCCGCTCATGTGGAGTATATCGCTCGTTAGTTATTCTCAATTGCAAACCCTCATATTCTGGAAATAAATTGACCACAGGTACAGAACATTTTTTTATTTTTCAGCTCAGGCTAATATAACAACTTTTTCCCATCAAAATTGTTTAATTGAATAGTCCAGTGTTGTTGAAAAAAAAAAACGTCAATCTGAAGGAGAACTAATAGTCCAAAATAAGCGTTTTAGCACTAGTTATAACATTTTTAACTGGCTTTTTGGTGGTTAAAAGGTTTCATTAATGAAAAATTAATTTTTGTTTTGAAATTTTTATAAGCGAACTATAATATATATATATATATATATATGTATATCTATATATTATATATATATATGTATATCTATATAATATATATATATATATATTATATATATATATATATGTGTGTGTGTGTTTGTGTGTGTGTGTGTATGTGTGTGTGTTATATTATTCATACAATTATTATATTATACAATAAATTATATAACCCGCTGTCGCACCCGCCTTCTCCCACTTCTCGAAGTTAACCCCCCCCCCCCTCCCCTGTCTTCCTCCTTGTTTACTACCACAGTTTTGCTCCTCAGGTTGAAGATAATTGTTTTCACATGCGTGAGATAGAAGATGTAATGAGGAGGAACCCTATTCGTCGCGAACTAGGTCAAAACTAGAGAACATTTTCGTGGACGATTACTACCCGATGCTAGCGATGACTGCTTGCCTTTTGAAAACTGCAGGTGTGTCAACGTAGATTTCACACAAACAGGTCTTTATCTAACAAGCGAAGACCTTGAAAGGAGGATTAGACGTGAGGACGTGGGGCAAACTCCGCTCTCAAGCCAATATGATTTACTTAGCAAAACTTACCGGAACACTTCAAATATTGTATCAACTCTGACACATTTGCATAAAATTTTGGTAGGCCAATCGCTATTGAACAACACGAGTTTTGTTCACCAGAAATATCAGCCGACATTTCATTCACGGCCCCCAAATCGTAGTAGATATTTATCATTGGAATAATTTGAGCGAAGAGCTGAACGAGCAAAACGACATCGATTGATATTGCTAATGAAGTTATAAAAAAGAATTCACTAAAAGCAGACACTCCAGTTATTTACTTGTTATCTCCAAATCCCCTCTCGATGTACGAAACTTTGATTCATTAACAAACTGAATGACAGAAGCAATTTTAAAAAATGTCGTATTTTGAGAAACTTCTTCCAACAAAAAAACTTTTCTCAAAAGTTATAACGGACTATTTTCATCATTCTAAACTGTTTTCCCGCACCGGATTTTCATGGATTCAAATTTTTCTAAAATTGTGGGTTGACAAAAATGCATG